CCACCAGGGTCAGCTGCACTCCCTCCTGACTGGTTGGCCACCAGGTCAACTGCACTCCCTTTCCTGGACTTGTCAGTCCCAGGTCAACTGCACTCCCTCCTGATCTGGTAAGCCACCAGATCAACTGCCACTCCTCCTGACTGGTTCTCGGTCCACCAGATCAACTGCACTCCTCCCTGACTGGTCAGCCACCAGATCAACTGCACTCCCTACCCAGACTGGTCAGTCCCAGGTAAAACTGCACTCCTCCTGACTGGTAAGCCACCAGGTCAACTGTACTCCCTCCCTCTGTGGGTCCGCACCAGGTCAACTGCACTCCCTCCTGACCTGGTCAGCCACCAGGGTCCGCTGCACTCCTCTGACAGCTCAGCCACCAGGTCAACTGCACTCCCTCCTGACTGGTCAGGACCACAGGTCAACCTCACCCTTCCTGGATCTGGTCAGCCCACCGGTCAGCTGCACTCCCTCTGACTGGTCAGCACAGGTCAACTCACTCCTTCCTGACTGGTCAGCCACCAGGTCAACTGCACTCCCTCTGACTGGTCAGCCACCAGGTCAGCTGCACTCCTGATCTGGTCAAGCCAACCGGTCAACTGCACTCCTCTGTAGATGGTCAGCCACCAGGTCAACTGACTCCCTCCTGACTGGTCCTCCACCAGGTCAACTGCACTCCTCTGGACTGGTCAGCCTCAGGTCAGCTGCACTTCCGCTGACTGGTCAGCCACCAGGTCAGGGCTGCAACTTCCTCCCTGGATGGGTCAGGCCACCAGGTTAGCTTGCACTCCCTCACGACTGGTCAGCCACCAGGTCAGCTTGCGTCCTCCTGACTGGTCAGCCACCAGGTCAGCTGCACTCCCTCTGACTTTGTCAGCCACCAGGTCAAGCTGCATTCCCTTCTGACTGGTTTCAGCCACCAGGTCTAACCTCACTCCCTCCTGACTAGGCAGCCACCTAGGTCAGCTGCACTCTCTCTGACTGGTCATCACCAGGTTAGCTGCCCCCTTGCCTGATCGGTTCAGCCACCCAGGTTCAGGTCTCTGCACTCCCTCCTGATGGTCAGTCACCAGGTCAGCGCTTGCACTCCCTTCCTGACTGGTCGCCACACCCAGGTAGCGGCTTCCCTCTGACTGGTTCAGGCACAGGTTCCGCGCACTCCCTCCTGATGGTCAGCCACCAGGTTAGCTGCACTCCTCCTGACTGGTTCAGCCACCAGGTTCAGCTGCTACTCCCCCTTGACTGGTCAGCCACAGGTCAGCTGCATTCCCTCCTGACTGGTCAGCCACCAGGTCAAATCTGCACTACCTCCTGGACTGAGGTCAGCCACATAGGTTAGCTGCAAATATCTCCTGCCTTTGTCACCACCTGGTCAGCTGCACTCCCTCCTGACTGGTCAGCCACAGGTCAGCTGCACTCCCTCCTGAGCTGGTTCAAGCGCCCAGTGTTTAGCTCGCACTCCCTCCTGACTGGTTCAGCCACCAGGTCAGCTGCATCCCGCCTGACTGGTCAGACCAGATCAGCTGCACTTCTCCTGAGACTGGTTTGCCACCAGGTAGCTTGCACTCTCTTTGACTGGTCGCCACCAGGTCAGCTGTATTCCTTCTCACTGATCAGGCCACCAAGTCAACTTCACTCCCCTCCTGACTAGTCAGCACCAGTGTCAGCTGCCTTTCTACTGGACGGGTCAGCCACCTGGTCAGCTGCACTCCGTGTGACTGGTCAGCCACCAGGTCAGCTGGCACTCCCTCCTGACTGTCAGCCACCAGGTCAAACCTCCCTCCCTCCTGAACTGGTCACGCCACCACGTCAACTGCACTCCCTCCTTGGGACTGGTCAGCCCACTAGGTCTAGCTAGCATTCCTCCTGACCGGTCAGCCACCAGGGTTCAACGGCACTCCCTCAGACTGGTCAGCCACCAGGTCAGCTGCACTCCTCGACTTGGTCACGCCACCAGGTCAGCTGATCCCTCCTGACTGGTCAGCCACCAGGTCAGCTGCACTCCCTCCTGACTGGTCAGCCACCAGGTCAGCTGCACTCCCTCCTGGCTGGTCAGCCACCAGGTCAACTGCACTCCCTCCTGACTGGTCAGCCACCAGGTCAGCTGCACTCCCTCCTGGCTGGTCAGCCACCAGGTCAGCTGCACTCCCTCCTGACTGGTCAGCCACCAGGTTAGCTGCACTCCCTCCTGACTGGTCAGCCACCAGGTCAGCTGCACTCCCTCCTGACTGGTCAGCCACCAGGTCAGCTGCACTCCCTCCTGACTGGTCAGCCACCAGGTCAGCTGCACTCCCTCCTGACTGGTCAGCCACCAGGTAGCTGCACTCCCTCTTGACTGGTGTGCCGAGAGGTAAACAGTCCTCTGATTTCTTGTTATTTCTTTTGGTTTTATGCCAGTTTAGTTAGTTTGTACTTTACATACTTGCTCAGTATTCAGTAATTTATATAGGGATATAGTGTCATTAGCCTGCCAGCATATAAAGCTACTAAATAAAGTATTCTGGCTGTGTATGGATTATACTACCGCAGTGGAAGAATATTTTGGATAACATAGGATCGTGGGTGTACTGGACATATCAGTATTTTTCATGGTTGTGGGTGATTCTATGGATATTATAGTAGCCAATGATATACAAGTCTCATATCTACATATAGCTAGTAGTGGGCTACAGTCAGTGTCATGTATAACTAGCCACGGAGGCCTAGCAAGTTTCTGGCATTCCGACCTCACATTTGGTTGGATGTGCCTTTAGTGCTGTTACGGATATTTTGACTGGGAAAAAAGAATTAGCATTTGTAAACAACAAAACTGACTTCTTATTTTACTTCTATTTTCTCATTTAGTTTCTCAGTACAAGTTTCTCATTAAAGTTATAAAATTCGAATGGAAATCTGATAGATATTAAATCGAAGTTCTGAAATCAAAATTGTTTTTCCTTTTTTTTTTTGTCAAATATCACCTTTAATTTTATTATTCGTTAATTGTTTATAGAAATAAAAATGGTTTCTTATTTCTTCCGTAAATTTTGGTAATATAATCACCCTTAATTATTAAACAATTGTTTTGTTTTGAATATTAATTGAATTTCAGTGCTTACTGTTGTAAAAATAATCATTATGTCATGATTATGTCAATAATTCATTCTTTCATGATTTATGGTAGGGATTTGGAGGAGCTTGGAATTGTTAAGAGAGGAATGCGATGTGGGACATCGAGAAACACTGTTCCAATCCCTATTTTAGGAGTTAGTCTTTATACCTGGTGGTTCACATATCCACCATATCCAGTAACCTCATTGCGTCCGTAGGCGTCATGCAGCGCCTTGAGAAATGGAGGTTGGTTCAATCCAACGAAGTGATTAAACCTCCACAAAGGTTCAGTTCCTAAAGGTGGCAGTAGAGCAATTGAAAAGAATATACAGACCGATAGCACTAACGTTCCACATCATAAAACTCTTTAAAAGGGTTCTAAAAAACAATGTCGCCAATCACCTGGACACCCAACAATACACAACCCAGGGCAGCATGAGTTTAGAGCAGGTCGCTCCTGCCTCTCACAACTACTGGACTATTACGACATGGTCTTGGATGCACTGGAGGACAAACAAAATGCAGATGTAGTATACACAGACTTTACGAAAGCCTTCGATAAGTGCGATCATGCTGTAATAACACATAGAATGAGTGATAAATGAATAACAGGAAAAGTAGGTAGATGGACTATTATTTCCCAACAAATAGAACACAAAAGAGTAATAGTAAACAGAGTCAAATCAGAGGCGGCTACGGTGAAACGCTGTTTCACAAGGTACAGTACTCGCTCCCATCCTTTTCCTCATATCTGACATAGACAGAGATGTATGTCACCGCGCCGTGTCCTCCTGTGCTGACGATACTAGAATTTACATGAGTATCATCCATTGAGGACACTGCAAATCTCCAAGCGGACATTAGCCAAGTCTTTAAATGGGGCTCAGAAAACAAAATGAAGTTCACTGAGGACAAATTTCAACTATGCTATGGAAAACTCGAGGAAATAAAAACTGGATTTGGAGTATAAAGCAAAGTCCAACCTCACAATAGACCGAAAAAAAAATGTGAAGGACCTGGTAGTGATATCAGAGAATCAATTTCAAAGATCACAATAATGTCTTTATCACATCTACTAGGAAAGTGATAGGACGACAAGTGTTCTGTACACTTATGGCCCCATTCAAGGCAGGCGAAATTACAGACTTGGAGAATATAGAGAGAACTTTCACAGCACGTATAAAGTACAATAAGCACCTAAATTTCTGGGAACAGTTGAAGTCCCTGCACCTGTACTCTTTGGAACGGAGGTGAGTAAGATACATAATAATATACGCTTGGAAAATCCTAGAGGGAATAGTCCCAAATTTGCACACGGAAATCACTCCCTACGAAAACAAAAGCCTCGGCAGGTGGTGCAACATCTCCCCAGTGAAAAGCGGGGGTGCCATGAGTACACTAAGAGACAACAGTGTCAGGGGCCGAACACTGTTCAACTGCCTCCCAAAATACCTAAGGAAGATTACCAGTAGACCCCTGGCTGTCTTAAGGAGCTGGACAGGCTCCTAAAGTCAGTACCTGACCAGCCAGGCTGTGGCTCGTACGTCGATTTGCGTGCGGCCGGCAGTAACAGCCTGGTTGATCAGTCCTTGATCCACCGCGAGGCCTGGTCATGGACCGGGCCGCGGGGATGTTGACCCCCTGGAACACCCTCCAGGTATGCGCTCCAGTTAGCCGCTAGCAGGTCACCATAGGACTAAGATCTGTGTCAGGAGACATTTGTCCTGTTTCCTGCCGAATAAAACTCTACCAATCAGGCTACAAAACGTAAAAAAAAATTCACCTGAACTTGTTCTTAAACACGATACTGTGAAGACTCCAACTTGCTGAATAATTCTTCACTGGTATAACTGTACTCTGTAACCTTTTCTTTATTATAATAAAAAATCATTGGTATAATAAGATTAATAATGATGTAACAGTGTTCGAATTTATTAATCTTAATATAAGACATGTAATTTACGAACCCCGCTTTTATCGTAATAGCCTATAAAAAATTATAAATGTTCCTCGAAGACTAAGGTTTGTAGCAAAAATCAGATTACCATATATTTGTCAAGCAATATGAAGCCAATGTGACCGAGATCTTAACACTTTCAGTGGATATATGGCGGAGTCTGTCTGCTGGGGCTCCTGATACACTCTAGCGTAGCATATAATCTTTAATTTCATGATCAATCTTTTCACCCTTTAGGTCATGACTATCTTCTGCGGTTCTGCCCAGACGTGAGCTGACCTCGGGGATCGTGGAATGGTTGTGTCTGCTGTAAGGGATGTCAAATTCTTCACCTACTCTCCTTGGATGGAACTGAAGGTGAGTCTGCTGGAGTTCGATGAGGAAACTTGGACCCAAGAACTAGGCATATAATGACTACCTCTCGGAGTATATAGTCCGAGAATTTATTTTTATCCCTGTTTTAAAGACTGAAATATTCTTGACTAGTGTACAGGTGAAACATTCGTAATGGCCCTCCTTCATTCGACAGTAAGGAAATATTTCTTGTCTCAGGGTGGTTGAAAAGTGGAATGACTTTGATGAAGCAGTGGTAGAGGCAAACTCAGTACACAGTTTCAGGAGTACAGATAATAAGGCCCAAGAGGCCAAAAATCAGTGATGTCGATGAAAGTGGTCTATGTGAGGCGGGTCCAGGAGTATTCTCGACTCCCGCAAACAAATCGGCAAGTACTGGTATGCTGCTAGCTCCTAGGCTCCACCACCGGTGATGATGCTGGAGGCCCTGCCAATAGTGGTGGCGCTAGCTCCTGAGCCCGGCCAGTGGTGCCGTTACTAGCTCCTGGGCCCGGCCACCGCTCGTAGGAAAGGGTTTATCAGCAGATCTGCAGCACTGGGTCGTTTCGTGGGGTCCCGACTTAGCATAGATATTACAGCCTCATTGAACCCCTTACTATACTCTCCTTCGACGTGCACCTGCAAAATTATGATTAGTATAATAATAATAATAATAATAATAATAATAATAATAATAATAATAATAATTATGGAAAATTACATTTCCCTGGATGAATCTCATTACATACATACAAGTAAATGGTAACAAAGATAATTATTATTTATCAAAGTTGCAGAGACAAGTAGGAATTTTTAGGACATCTAGGTCGCAAAAATGTGCCCATTTGATACCTACCATCTATCTCTCCACAAGTTGCTCTAGATCTATATTAATTGCAAATGAAGTGTACATACACAACAGGAATTCTGGTAAAATTATTATAATTTTTGTGGACTGTATATTAAACTTAATAAATGATTACATATACACATTTATATAACAGAAGGAGAATTTATAATCATAACACTCACCAATTTGTCTGGAAATTACTGTGTATAATATTGAAAAACCTCCCTCTAACTAAATTTATGATGATAATACTGGCCAGAATTACAAACATAATTTAGATAGCTTATCTGAGGTTCCTGGAGCTGTCCTGTACATCGATTTAATGCTCAAATTATGCAGAATGCACATCCAACAATTTCCGCTCCTATTTGAGAGGTGTAAGCCCAATGTAACCTCTAGAACGATGAAAATTCTTCTTATTTTCACTAACGCTTTCTTGGCTCATTCAAAAAACATGGTGACTCTCCCTTCTCGTCCGCGCAGGCCCCGAGCTTCCCATTTTTTATAATATAATTTTTATTAAATACAATATAGGCCATCAATTTACATATAAAATACTGTATTTCCAGAAAATACATACAGTATTTTCCACATTGCGGCCGGGCGGAATTCGTTGCTAAACGACTCAAATTGCTCATTTGACAATGGTGGAGGACCTGGGTACATATAGGATCTGGCATCCACACGGCGACATATTACACAAGATTAATCACCCTTTTTCACTTTCCCAATCCTTGGGAATCCAGAAAGTTTCCCTAATACAATTTAAGGTATCTTGTCCCCAAACCCATGCATTACATTTTATGGGCATTTAGAACAATTAAATTTGTTAGATGAGGGAATTTTTGGGGGCAGTAAGATAAGGTGTTAGCATATCACCCAATTCAGCATTTTGTAACCTACTCTGCACCTAATTACATTGTTCTCTAAATACAGCCCCAATTCTCTATTATGGAACCTTCACAATTTTTTTTCCATCAATCAATTTAATCTCTTTCCTAGTTTTCCCTTCCTGTACCCTCTTTATCCAGTATCAAGAGGATGTGAAAACTTATATGAGATATTCATCTTGTTTAGAAATTTAAAACACGAACTTATTACATTGATTAGTTGGGTAAAGAAGAATACCTATTTATATCAATGGCTAAGGGAGGCAAACTATTGGAGTGGTGGTCAAAAGTAATTTCAACGGAGCAATATACACTTTTGACAGGCCAATTAGCTTTATTTACCAACCAACTCGGTCCTTTAAACCATAATACGCATTTACAAATTTAGCATAAGGTAAAACATCGAGACAAGAAATCAGCTGGATTCTCCTCACCGGGTATATGATTAAATGTTAACATTGCTGACCCAAAATATTATACTTCTCTTGCATCTGATTAATTTCAGCGACTCTGTTTTGTACGTACACAATTTTACTGTTTCCATTACGAATCCATTGTAAGGATACCTCATTACAGACCAAATTGCAGTGTCGCTAATATTTATCTCATGCAACTTATTTCTTATATAACTAGCTAATTTTGACACCTACATAAATGGCTGTTAATTCTAACTGAGGCAAGGTACGTGATTTAATTGGAGCACTTTAGCCTTAGACATAACAAGAGAAATAACACTATTACATTGAAGGTAAGAACTGCTCCATATGCCAATTTTGAAGCATAACAAAAATGTGTACATTTTTCCCTTTTGGGATTGGCACCTGGCGTGGGAACTCCAACATTGGAATTTTCTCATAACCCCCAAATTTAAATTCATCCCACCTGTTAATGATTCCTCAGGTTAGAATTTCATCCCAAGCACATTTAAGTTTCCAGGGCTTCCTGAATTAATAATTTCTCTTTTATAGAAAGGGGGATGACACAAACCTAGTGGATCAAAACTATGGAAACTTCAGCAAGCAAAACTCTCTAGTTAATTTATTGGGGCGTACTGTAATTATTAGGTTTTAACATTAACAAATCTCTCTCAGTATCCCAAGTCAAACCCAATACATTACAACATTTTGGCACTTCGTCTCCCGTGTAATCTTTATTTATTTTGTCCTTTAATTTGGATGAATTACTATTCCATTCCCTCAGAGGCATATTTGCACTTTGCATTATTTTATTAGCCTCTCCATAAGTCATTAACAGTTCCTCTTCAGTTGACGTCACACCCAGGAAATTGTCCACATAAAATTGTTTGCTCATTACTTTACTCAATGGACTTTCCATACATTTAAGGTGTGCATTTATCGTCGCTTGAAGTAGGAACGGACTGGATGTAGCACCAAATAATACGCTCCTAAAGCGAAAGTTTTTCAGAGGGCTAAGTGGATCAATAGGAAATTTTCAGGGCCCTAAGAAGCAGGTACAATCCGGCAGCCTCTTGTAAACCCACTCTTAGGAAAGCTTTATTTATGTCAGCCGTAAAGGCATAATGCTTCACTCTGAAATTTAATAAGATATCTCCTAATTTTTCCGTCAACGACGGACCTGTCATCAAACAGTCATTTAAACTAGGTACATTTTTGTTACTCCTGGCACTACAATTAAACACAATCCTCAAAGGAGTGGTCTTAGAATCCCTTCACTCCGTGATGGGCAAATAGTGACCATAAATTTTGGGCTTGCTCAGGAGTACCTCTTCTATAAAATTTATTAATTAATTGCTCAGCAATTATATCATTATAGGCAGTTAACAATTCTGGTGTCTTACTCAGTTCGCGGAGCTGAGCCTTTAACTGTCCATATGCCATTCTGTAATTAGTGGCAATTCTGGATGGTTCAGTCTCCACGGAAGTCGCACCCAGCACTGTCCAGATTCAAATTTTACATCAGATATTGATCCTGAGCAAAAGAATCATTGGACTTTCTTCATTTACATTTTTCCAATGCTGTCTAATTCCCACAATTTATGCACTGGGTCAACACCAAACCTCTATGGAAGAATTATACTGGGCAAAGTTTCATGAGTAAGACACACAGTTATGGTATTTGTAGTTTTTCCCCTAGTCATGAATTATTATACGAGGAACCTACCATACATTTCTATGGCCTCCAGCAGTCTTTAAAAGGGGGAACCACATTTCTTTACCAACCCTTTACAAAGGAGGCATAATAGTCACTACCTATAAAATATTTATTGGGCCTACAGAATCATCACTTACACCAGAAGGTGCTAAATTTACATTATGTGAAAGTCTTTCTGAGCTTTACTAGCCCCACTGTAGATATTTTCTCTGGGAAATCTATCTACAATTACTGCATTAACACGTTTTTTCTCATTGCCCAACCTGACAGTTACATAAACATTGTCATACAATTGACCCCTTTTATCCGAGAGAAAACCAGATAATTTTAAAGTTGTGGGATCTCCCATCTGTACTTTCACACCATCAAGACATTTACGTTTTATGAAAGTACGCTGGGATCCCTGGTCCAATAATGCATTTACATTTTTTTATTTATGCCTTTTATCATCAATTTTTACCTGTAACACAGGTAAGGCTACTTCAGCAAAACCATCATTATTAACATTAGCAGCAATTTTTACATTAGCCACTGTTATGTCAGGATTGTCAACATTATCATTATTATCAACATTATCATATAGACCCTTACACATGACTATATGGTGTCTTCCTTTGTAACATTGATAACAGAAGTTTAATTTGGCATAACAATCGTTTACATTGTGATTACCCAAACACCTGATACATCTGTCAAGTTCCTCCAATCTTTCAACTTTATCATTCCATGAATTGTATGCATTGCAATTCTTAGAAAAATGAGTACCCTTGCAGAAGAGACAATCTCTCTTTTCTTTGACTGGTTTCTTATTAACTGGGCTACTCTTAGGAGGGTACTTATTCTCCTTACTTTGTGGAGAATCATTATTTCTGATTCCTGCTACTTGATATGCACCTATCCAACTCTTTTTAGGAAATGAAATTTGATTATTACCATTGGGATAATTTTTCCCTTTGTGAAACTTGACAGACACCTCAGAGTTATTATGTGTTGCACCTTTAAAATGAGTTAGTTGGCTGGTCTGCAACTGCACAATTAATTCTTGTAGACCTAGTCTTATTTCCTCCGGACCAAAATAACCCTTGTGATATTTGTTTGAGAGCCATTCAAGTGTTTCATAGTTTAATTTATTCTGTACCATGGCACTCAATAACCAGTCTGATTCATTGAGATTATATTTATTAAAGTTTTGAGAGTGCTCTCCAGTTTAACTCTAAACTGCTGTAAACCTTTGTAAGTGTGATCTGGAGATTTTAAATTAACAATGATATTCACTAGATCCAACCTACTTTGTTCTATATTACCATAAGTGACCTTCAACAAGTCAACTGCTTCCTTGTAAGAGTCATCTACATTGGGAAAACTTGTATGAGTATGTGAGCATCTCCTCTTACCTGTCCTTTGAGGTAAAATAATTTAGTTACACAGGCTAGGTCACTCCTGTCATGCACAGCTGCTTTAAAAATTGACCAAAACTCTTCCCAATTTTCACCAGGATTAAATACAGGTAAACATAGTTCTGGGAGTTTTGGCAAAGACATCTTATTTGTTGGAGCAGACTGATTAACTGCCTGGTTTACACATTTTAATTTATTCAAGGCCTGACTTTTACAAGAAAGAATCTTTTCTTCTAATTCATAATACTGATTAATCATGAGATCTACTTCAGTCTCATCTACACAGTTTACTAACAAATCTCCTTCATATTTGTTGTAATATAATTTGTATGAATCATATTTATTACCTAAAGCATCTAAATACAATTTTAAATCATCAGTATTCAGAGTTTCTTGATTCATTAATTCCAAACATTTATTATATGCCTTGGTTACATGACCCTTTCTAGCTTGTAATGATGCTTTCTTTACTCTATATTCCATATGTTTGTCTTCTACATTAATTTCCTCATTTTCAGCCATGATGCAATGTATTAAATTCAACTTAATAACACTGATTATGTACTAAATTATGCACTTTATGAAGGTAACTAGTACACCTTACCTTTGAATAAATCCTAGCTACCTGAGCTTAGCAATTACATGTAAGAAAATTATATAAATTTTAAATGTACATTAATATATTTTAAATGTACATTAATATAAAATTAATATTATACAAATTAATAAATCCTTGCCAGAATTTGGCATAGCAAATTAATATTATACACATTAATGTTAGTTACACTTGGCTTATCAATTACACATACACTGATATAAATCTTGGCCAGAATTATCTTATCAAATTAATATTATACAAATACATTAATATAAATCCTAGCCACTTTGGCTTTGCAAAATTAATATTATACACATTAATATAATCTTTAGCCACCCTTGAGCTTAGCTTATCAAAATTAATATTGTAATAATTATAATCCACTACACATTAAGTAAATTTGTGAACTTAACATCCACCTCCTTCTGTCATTTCACATATAATTATTAAGTAATTAACTAATTAATGACTTCACTAATTACCTCCGGTTCAAGAAGGACCAACGGGCAAATTAAATGTGGAAAATTGCATTTATCTGTATGTAACTCATTATGTACATAACAATAAATGAACATAGATAATTATTATTTATCAGTTAGACAAGTAGGAATTTGGGACACCTAGGTCGCAAAAAATGTCCCCCTTCGATACCTACCACTGTCATATCCACAAGTTTCTCTGGACCTATTAATCATAAATGATTTGTATCACCAGGAATGCTGGTAAATATATAAATTTGTGGACTGTATATTAAAAATAATAAATTATTATAGATACACATATATACACATTTATACAACAGAAGGAGAATATATCTTAATCATAGCACTCACCAATTTGACTGGAAATCAAGGTGTATCATACTCAGAAAACCTTTGTCTATACATGAAAATAACAACTAGCCAGAGTTATAACATAACAGACTTATCCGAGGTTCCTGGAGCTGTCTTGTCCAGTTGCCTGATATCTCAAGTTATGCAGGAATGCACATCCAACAATTTTATCTCCTATTTGAGAGGTGTCAGCCCAATTTTAACCTCTAGAGCACGAAAATTCCTTCCTATTACACTAACGTTGTATCTAATTCAAATTAACAATGGCGACTGTCCTTCTGCGCAGACGCAGGTTTTCCGTTTTCTATGACATAAATATTATTAAATACAGTATGGCCATCTATTTACATATAACTACTGTATTTCTGGAAAATATATACAGTATTTTCCACATCTGGTAAAATTATTATAATTTTTGTGGACTGTATATTAAAATTAATAAATGATTACATATACACATTTATATAACAGAAGGAGAATTTATAATCATAACACTCACCAATTTGTCTGGAGATTACTGTGTATAATACTCAAAAATCTCCCTCTAACTAAATTTATGATGATAATATTGGCCAGAATTACAAACATAATTTAGATAGCTTATCTGAGGTTCCTGGAGCTGTCCTGTACATCGATTTAATGCTCAAATTATGCAGAAATGCACATCCAACAATTTCGGCTCCTATTTGAGGTGTAAGCCCAATGTAACCTCTAGAGCGACGAAAATTCTTCTTATTTTCACTAACGTTTTCTTGGCTCATTCAAAAAACATGGCGACTCTCCCTGTTCATCCGCGCAGGCCCCGAGCGTCCCATTTTTTATAATATAATTTTCATTAAATACAATATAGGCCATCAATTTACATATAAAATACTGTATTTCTGGAAAATACATACAGTATTTTCCACAGTAATAATATAATACAAGAATATTGTTGCACTCTAACATAAAACCTTCCCTGCCCACGTAATTCAGTCAAGCACCTAAATTATTGGAAACGCCTGAAAGTCCCTTGAACTGCATCCCATAAAACGTAAGCGAGGAGGGTACATAATAATTTGCCTGGAAAATTCTGAGAGGATTGGTTCTAAATCTGCAAGAGTAAGAGGCCTTAGGTGCAAAATACCTCCAACGAAAATCAGGAGCGAGTTCACTGTGGGTAACTCGTGTAGAAAAAAAAGTTTTTTCAGCACTCTTCCTTAAAGCATAAGGGAAATTTACCAACAGACCCCTGGCTGTCTTAAGAGAGAAAACTTGATAAATGCCTCAAGTTAGTGCCTGTTCAGCCAGTCAGTGGTGCATACGTTGGATGGGTACAAAAAACCAAAGCCTATTTGATCATGCCATCCATCACCCAGACTGGTCTGGGACAGCGAGGAAGTGGCCTCCGATTCGTCTTCAGGCAACTTTTAGGTAACCTTTAGACGGTATCTTCAAGTATTCCTAACCTACAATATCAAATAATAGATTAGGCAGAAATAAAACGAACTGTAATTCGGGGGAAATTGAATTAATTTGAGAACGTTGGATCAGCTTTTATATAAATGGAAGCTCTAAAACCATAGAAGTTATACAGCGCCGTAGGACATTTGGAGACACTCATATTTGATGCAAAAGGGAAAGAGGATATCTGAGCCACTGACCTGTTCATAAGGGTAGCCTCGCGTAATGTAGCCAGCTCATAGAGCAGCGCCTAATGACCACATATCAGCTTTACCGTCGTATGGTAGACCATTAGCACCTCGGGACTCTGCCACGGAGAAGTAACATAAGCTTTATTCAAGAAATCTAAAAATTTCACAGTATAAATTTGTACAGTGTTTTGAGGGACATCTTGGAGACATAGGTAAAAATTATGTAGACAAGATCCATGTGCACAAGCTGTCGTAGCCCCCAAAAATCAACAGCAACAAATGTAATTTAATCTTGTTAACCCAACAAAGGTAGTGTAATTATTTCCACTAAGGTTTTAATTTTTTGTCTTTTTTGGTGCTTATTATCAGGTGTAGTGGTACTAAAATGTACCATTTTTTAGCTGTGGTGCTTGGTATTACTCAAGGTGTCGTGTAGCTCGGTTGGTAGCGCATCAGTTTATACATTGAGTGGTGCCATGGTTTGATCTCGATCGGGTGGAAAAAATTTTGCATCTCTCTCTCTCTTATCTCTCTCTCGCTTCTCTTATACAAATACATACATGCTTTTAAATGAAGGAAGGAAAAGAAGATAATACATCCTGAATTACGATATTGAACTGTTAGTCAGAACCCATAGTATATGTGTACAATGTTGAACTTCCATGTCCCGCTAAACCCACCCAGGACTAACAAACACCTGCCAGAAACCCACTGCTGTTCCTCAAAATCCCACCAAACACTGTGGACCATCATAAATGCTGTTAATTATAGGCCAACCAAACACACTGCTGGACCACCACATTCTTGTTCATGCAACAAACCCACCAAACATATGACCACTTACACTGCTCTTCGTCATTTGTTGCACCAAGAACATTGGCTAGACCCACCATATACGTGGGCTGCCGACGATGGTCCTGGGATGTTGATGTCTCCTCTGTGACCGAGCCAAGCCAAAGTCGCCAGCTTGACACTCTTGTTGCCCAGGGTGAGGAAGATGTTGTGAGGTTTCAGGTCCCGGTGTAGGATACCCTTCGTGTGTAGTAACTGTTGGTAGGTGGCAAGTCAGCAGTAAATAGGTGACAAAATAGGCTCAGATAAGTGATAAGTTATGCGACAAATTAGACTTCTAACACTTTAATTTACAGGCTAAGAGACGTTATCTTACTTCATTTCATTTTTTAACATGCCTAACGGCACCACCTGTCTCAGGTGGCACTACCACTGAGCCATAACCCACTTTTTTGTTGCTATGGGAAGCTCGTCTGAGAGAGTAACGTTTCTGTCTCGGATCTTGCAGACGGATGATCGAGTCTCGACCACTCACCCACACGAATCACCCCCATAGGTTAACTTGGGTTTTCTTTCTCTCCCTAACCAGAGGAAGAACTGCTTAAGATATAGTAATTTGACATGTAACTTGTCGAAAATAATTTCCCAAAATTATGTTGTGTAAATAAACCTGATTAAAGTGTATTTTAGAGAATGGAGCCGACAGGGAGGCTCTGCGCCTGCGCTGACGAGCGGGGGGGGGAGAAGACGCCATTGTTTTTGTAATGTAGTACAAGCACGTTAGTAATGTGCTTAATTTTCGTCGCTCTAGGGGTTATATTGGTCTTAAAACCTCTCAAATAAGAACCGAAATTGTTGGATGAGCATTCCTGCATAACTTGAGCATTAAACAGATGTACAAGACAGTTCCAGGAACCTCAGATAAGCTATCTAAATTATGTTTAATTCTGCCCAGTATTATCATCATAAATTTGGGAAGAGGGGGGTTCTGTTCATGACACACAGTAATCTCCAGACTAATTGGTGAGTGTTACGATTATAAATTCTCCTTCTGTTATATAAATGTGTATATGTAATCATTTATTAATTTTAATATAGTCCACAAATTTATATTAAATTTTACCAGAATTCCTGGTGATGTACATTTCATTTGCATAATATAGGTCTAGAGCAACTTGTGGAGACATAGATGGTAGGTATCGAAGGGGGACATTTTTTGCGACCTAGGTGTCCTAAAATTCCTACTTGTCTCAGTAACTTTGATAAAAAATAATTATCTTTGTTACCATTTACTGGTATGTATCTAATGAGATTCATCCAGGTAAATGTATTTTTCCACATAACTAGTGTGGAAAATTGCATTTATCTGAATGTAACTAATTATGTACATAACAGTAAATGATAACAAAGATAATTATTATTTATCAATGTTACATAGACAAGTAGGAATTTGGGACACCTAGGTCGCAAAAAATGTCCCCCTTCGATACCTACCACTGTCATAACCACAAGTTGCTCTGGACCTATTAATTATCAAATGAAAAATACATCACCAGGAATACTGGTAAATATATAAATTTGTGGACTGTATATTAAAAATAATAAATGGTTATATATATACACAATTACATAACAGAAGGGAAATATATCTTAATATCACTCACCAATTTGACTGGAGATTAATGTGTATCATACTCAGAAAAACCTCACTAATTAAATTTATGAAAACACTGGCCAGAATTATACACAAATCTAGAGAGCTTATCTGAGGTTCCTGGAGCTGTCTTGTCCAGTCGTCTGATATCTCAAGTTATGCAGGAATGTATATCCAACAATTTCGCCTCCTATTTGAGAGGTGTCAATCCAATTTTAACCTCTAGAGCACGAAAAATTCTTCCCTTTATATTAACGTTGTATCCAATTCAAAACCAAGATGGCGAGTCTCGTCTGCGCAGACGCAGGCTTTTCGTTTTCTATGACATAAATATTATTAAATACAGTATGGCCATCTATTAACATATAAATACTGAATTTCTGGAAAATATATACATTATTTTCCACAACTAGCATGTTTTTTATTAATAGGCTATAGAAATAAAATAGGCTATAAAACTAATAATATCAACTGATGTCCGAAATGATAACGTTAATGGTACACAAGACCCACTAGTAACTAGTCACTAGTTGATGAGTTAGATACTTGTCCAACTCCTGGTTATCTTAATTATGACGATGTTTCGCCCAACAAGTAACTTTATTGAATTGAAAGTCACGAAACATCTTCAGAATTAACATACACAGGTATTAAGTTGTCCAAAAGAGTTATCGAAAAACATGCTGAAGAGTTTTACGTCACTGATATCAAAAACTATATTAAAATGGTAGTTTGTTCCCTATAATGGCTCTGGGTGAGGGAGAGAGAGCATGATACATTATTCTGTTCCAGGACTAACAATAATGAGTAGAAGATGAGTCATGGAAACATCAAGAGAGGTGCGGCTCTGAGTAGGAAATAACGAGTTAACACGTGGATTCCATCAGCATTTTGGTAGAGGGGCAACGCACCTATACGTGAAATTAATATTATTGACAAGGGACAACTGAAATTTAAAAAAGCAACCCACACCAGTGAGGTCACCCAGCACAAGGTACTTATTTTTATTCAAACAGAAGATTGCCGGCATTAGTGAAGAAAAAACACATTACATTACAAGCTTTTCTTGGGAAAAACGTTTTGCCATTTGTAGTTTTATTAAGGCATGTCAGGCTTTACACAGCGAAAAACTGTCCCAACAGAAGCTTATTCTTCAACCTGTCTTTTCTTTACTCAGCAGCAGCACTGATGAGTTCATCCAGCATCACCACCTACAACATGTGTATGAACTCACATTCAGTGCGGAGGCAATACTGAGAGCCCAAGACACAATCCTCTTCTCGGAAAAGCGCGGCCCTCCCTGCTGCACCCGCTGGTAGATGAGTTTAGCTAAGTCTCCCCCGGCGCAGTACTCCAGCACGATGAAGAGGTCATTGCCTCGAACTTCTCCGCCCTGTAGTGAGACATGGATCGTCGAAGACATGGGACGCAGGAGGGGGCTCACATGAGGAGCATGGGGTGCACAATAAACTAGGCGCTTAAGCGGCACAACTAAACTAAATAGGGTGTCAGGGATATTGTTTGTACTGTGTACTAGTAGGTGAGGCTTGGTGATCACAGTGTCAGATTTTGGGAGACTAATCTTCGCTAAGACTTCAGTTATTGTGTACCGTCCATAACCCGATAATTATATTGTATTTGCACACTGGCTGTATATTCTACCACTGTACTGTATTACCACCAACCACTCGTGTGATAAATGCTTCGGCAGTTTAAAAAAATAGGTTACACAAATAGATAATTGAGAGGTTGGTTACAGTTACTTGCTTAGTATCTGCCAGTAAGGATACTGCAGTGCTCCTTAAAGAATTAACGTTTTATAATGAGGATATGTAGGCTCACCAAGTACGTAACGATGTTGGGATGGTGGATGGTCTTCAGTAGCTGTAGTTCTTGCTCGGCCACAAACTCAGGGATCCCGCCAACTGACCCAGGTTGATCTGAGCACGAGACACGGGTATAAAATACCGAGATGATGATGAATAAGACACTTGTGTAACTGGAGACAGTAGAAGACGAGGTAATCAAGCCCTTAGCACTGATTCGTCAGGACTGCGGTGAATAATGATTACCTTGATGAATCAAGACTACAGTGAACACCCTCATCTAGGCTGAGGGACTGATTGAATTGACAAAGCCATTGACTGACGAAACATCTTTAGAATAAAGAAACACAGGAGTTACACATGTGCCTTATTCATCACTAGATATAGGACATAGGCAGAAATATAACAAATGCATATAGAATATAAATACATGTATGAAAAGAACAAAAATATAAACTAGGTTAGTCTTGCATTATACTCATGGGGAACTCTACACTCAATAGGATTATATAGTGCCTGGAGAATGGAATTTTGATCCGAGGAAGAAGAGGAGCAGCTTCATTTCCTCGTATCAGGATACCTTCATCGAAATAACCCTCTTAAAGAGACTAGGTTACTTTAAGAGTACATAATGAATTGTCTGTGCCCTTTTTATAACCTAACTTAAGGATTAGGATATCTTGGTGTAAAGAATCATTACCCGGAAAAAAAATTCACATGTGTCCCTGACTGACCTAATTAAGTTAATCAGTTTTGAGTGTGAATATATAACAACATATATATGATGTGTTCTCCCTTGACTGTTATTAAGCCCTCAAATGAAGGGTTTCTGAGCACTACCTCCCAATTTCCGAACCAGTGTATGACCCCTATGGGTTTAATGCTTCCCTTTGGTTGTGGTTACATAAACTGATTGGTTAATGAGGCTTAAGGCTTATTTATCATCTACACGAGGGTCAGTAAAGTTGCGTATCACCTGTTCACTACCAGATTACTTTAATCCCTAACATAAGGATTAAAGTAACCTTACAGACCGGGCCGCGGGGGCGTTGACCCCCGAAACTCTCTCCAGGTAAACAGCGAATACACACACACACACACACACACACACACACACACACACACACACCTTGCGTCACTGTTAGATACTGGTCACTCACTCCTGCAAGCTATTACCAGAATTAGAGCAGAAATAGCATATATAAGGTGAAGATAGTGTTGACTAGCGAGGAGCAGCCTATCGAGGGGAAGCCTAGCGAGGGGAAGCCTAGTGAGGGTGACGTCAGACACTCCTAGAAGCTGAGACAAGCTAAATTTTACAACCTAATTACTTTCTGTGTTTTATAAGTAGAAGTGATAAGTGCTAGAATCACTGTTGGTAGTTTTAGAAATACGGGTATTACTACTGATATTTATTAGCAGTATGAATACTTAGAAGTGGGGGCACACATACACACGAGCACACACACACCACACACACACACCACACACACACACACACCACACACACACACACACACACACACACACACACACACATGCACACACACATAAACACACACACATGCACACACACATAAACACCAAACACACACACACACAACACACACACACACACACCACACACACACACACACACACACACACACACACACCCATATACAGGATTTCACACCTTCTGTGAAGTGATCCTCTAACCCTTCCTTCCCCCCCCCCCCGCCTCCCTTCTCCCCTCCTCTCTCTTCCTCTCTCTCTCTCTCTCTCTCTCTTCTCTTCTCTCTCTCTCTCTCTCTCTCTCTCTCCTCTCTCTCTCTCATCCTCTCTTCCTCTCCCTCTTCCTCTCTCTCTTCCTCTCTCTCTCTTCCTCTCTCTCTTCTCATCTTCTTTCCTCTCTCTCCCTCTCACTCCCTTTCCCCTTCTCTCTCCCCCTCTCTCTCTTCCTCTCTTTCTCTCTCTCTTCCTATTCTCTCTCTCTCCCTCTCTTCCCTTGTCACTCCCCCCTCTCTCTCTCACTTTCTCCCCCTTTTCCCCTCCTTCTACCCTCCCCTTCTCTCTCTTTCTCCCTCTCTCTCACTCTCTCCCCTTTTTTCTTTTTCACTTTCTCTTTTAATAAAAAAAAATGGTTGGGACTCGCAGGAATCAGGGATCAGATGACAATGGTACTGGTAGGGAGGAATGGATGGAGGAGCAGTGGAAAAGGATAGAGCAAGAATGGGAGAGAAAATTAGGAGAGCTTTCTGAAAAAATGGAGAAAGAGCTCTCTGTGAAATGGGAAAAGAGGTTGGAGAAGGAGACGAAGAATTGGGAGGCACAAGTCGAAACTGCAGTAGCCAGGGTAAAGGTCCTAGAATTTGAGGTAAACAGGCTGAAGCAAGTCTCAGGGGTAGTGACCAGAGAAGACACACCATACGAAGCTGAGAGGCTGAACAGGAAGGAAGGAGATATGAAATATGCTAAGGTCCTATCAGCCTGCAAAGAAGGGTCAGGGAGTGGAAGGGAAGAGCAGATGGGTACAGATGGAGAGGGAGATAAGTCGAATGCTGAGGCACAACCATGCTACCAAGAGCCACTGGAAAAATCAAGGGAGGGAAAATGGCCACATACAGACAGGAACCAGAGTCACAGAGGGAGAGGCAAGGGAGGAGGAAGGGCCAAAATCAGTGTTTATCCATGGGCTTCGGGAGAGAGAGGAAAGGACACACACTGAAAGACGGCAGGAAGAAAGAAAGGAGATTGAGAAAATCATCACGGAAATAGGGGGAGAAGACATGGACGAGATTGTAAATTTTCAGAGAATAGGGGGGTACTTGAAGGGGAGAAACCGACCAATCAAGCTGATTCTCAGGACAGAGAAACAGTGCGGAACAGGATCCTCCAAGAAAACCACGGTTGAGAAGCTCGGAAGAGTACAAGAAGGTGTTCCTAGACAGAGACAGAACACAAAAAGAGAGACAGCAGCTGAGGGAGAGGACAAAAAAGTGAAGGAGTAGGAAAGGAGACAAGGATGGAACCAGCAGAGGTCAGTCAGAGCAGAACAGAGCAGCAAGAGCAAGCACACACACAACTATCCTCAGAACCCTACACCTATCACACCATCCCAACACACAATACAATCCATACCCACAGCTTCCACCCAACCCCCAACCATAGAATCCACAGTATGCTACCAGGTCTCCCACCCTCACAGGCCACCCAAACCACAGTGTTGGAAAGGAAACTGAAGGTATGGTACACAAACGCTGATGGAATAACAAACAAGTGGGAGGAGTGGCACGAAAGAGTCAAAGAGGCATCACCAGACATCATAGCAATCACAGAAACCAAACTTACAGGTATGATAACAGATGCCATCTTCCCAACGGGATACCAGATCCTGAGGAAAGACAGAAGGAACAGGGGGGGGAGGAGTGGCATTGCTGATCAAACATTGATGGAATTTTGATGAGCTGGAGGAGACAGCGGAGAAGAAAGTGATTGCATAGCGGGAACGCTTCACTCTGGAGGTCCCAAGGTGATAATTGCAGTGATGTATAACCCACCACAGAACAAGCAGGAGGCCAAGGCAAGAGTATGACGAGAGCAATAGAGCGATGGTTGACACACTGGCTGCAGTGGCCAGAAGAGCTCATACATGCAGGGCAAAGCTCCTGATCATGGGCGACTTTAACCACAAGGAGATCGAATGGGAGAACTTGGAGCCACATGGGGGCCAAGATACATGGAGGGCTAAGATGATGGAGGTGGTACTGGAAAACTTCATGTACCAACACGTAAGGGACACTACAAGAGAGAGAGGAGAGGATGAACCAGCAAGACTGGACTTAGTTTCACCTTGAGTAGTGCAGATATTGAGGACATCACATATGAAAGACCCCTTGGGGCCAGCGATCATGTGGTTTTGAGCTTCGAATACACAGTAGAGCTACAAGTGGAGGGGGAAGCAGGAAGGCCAGGACGAATGAAACCAAACTACAGGAAAGGGGACTACACAGGAATGAGGAACTTCTGAATGAGGTTCAGTGGGACAGAGAACTGGCAGGGAAACCAGTTAATGAGATGAGGAATATGTAGTCACAATGTGCAAGGAGGCTGAGGAGAGGTTTGTACCCAAGGGTAACAGGAATAATGAAAAAGCCAGGATGAGCCCATGGTTCACTCAAAGATGCAAGGAGGCAAAAAACCAAGTGTGCTAGGGAATGGAAGAAATATAGAAGGCAAAGGACCCAGGAGAATAAGGAGAGCAGTCGTAGAGCCAGAAACGAATTGCACAGATAAGAAGGGAGGCCCAACGTCAATAGGAAAAACGACATAGCAGCAAAAGCCAAATCTGACCCGAAGCTGTTATACAGCCACATCAGGAAGAAAACAACCGTCAAAGACCAGGTAATCAGGCTAAGGAAGGAAGGAGGAGAGACAACAAGAAATGCAGTGAAGTATGTGAAGAACTCAACAAGAGATTCAAAGAAGTGTTCACAGAGGAGACAGAAGGGCTCCAGAAAGACGGAGAGGTGGGGTACACCACCATGTGCTGGACACAATACACACAACCGAGGAAGAAGTGAAGAGGCTTCTGAGTGAGCTAGATACCTCAAAGGCAATGGGGCCAGATAACATCTCTCCATGGGTCCTGAGAGAGGGAGCAGAGGTGCTATGTGTACCCCTAACAACAATATTCAATACATCTATCGAAACAGGGAGATTGCCTGAGGCATGGAAGACAGCAAATGTGGTACCAATCTTTAAAAAATGAGACAGACATGAAGCACTAAACTACAGACAGTGTCACTGACATGTTAGCATGCAAAATCATGGAAAAGATTGTCAGGAGAAGAATGGTGGAACATCTAGAAAGGAATGATCTCATCACCAGCAGACAACATGGTTTCAGAGACGGGAAATCCTGTGTCACAAACCTACTGGAGTTTAATGACATGGTGACAGCAGTAAGAAGAAGAGAGAGATGGTTGGGTGGATTGCATATTCTTAGACTGCAAGAAGGCGTTTGACACAGTAACCACACAAGAGATTAGTGCAAAAACTGGAGGACCAAGCAGGAATAACAGGGAAGGCACTGCAATGGATCAGGGAATACTTGTCAGGAAGACAGCAGCGAGTAATGGTACGAGGCGAGGTGTCAGAGTGGGCACCTGTGACCAGTGGGGTCCCACAGGGGTCAGTCCTAGGACCAGTGCTGTTTCTGGTATTTGTGAACGACATGACGGAAGGAATAAAACCGAGGTGTCACTGTTTGCAGATGACGTGAAGTTGATGAGAAGAGTTCATTCGATCGAAGACCAGGCAGAAATACAAAGGGATCTGGACAGGCTGCAGACCTGGTCCAGCAACTGGCTCCTGGAGTTCAATCCACCAAGTGCAAAGCCATGAGGATTGGGGAAGGGCAAGAAGACCGCAGATGGAGTACAGTCTAGGGGGTCAGAGACTACAAACATCACTCAAGGAAAAAGATCTTGGGGTGAGTATAACACCAGGCACATCTCCTGAAGCGCACATCAACCAAATAACTGCTGCAGCATATGGGCGCCTGGCAACCTCAGAACAGCATTCCGACATCTTAATAAGGAATCGTTCAGGACCCTATACACCGTGTACGTTAGGCCCATATTGGAGTATGCGGCACCAGTTTGGAACCCACACCTAGCCAAGCATGTAAAGAAACTAGAGAAAGTGCAAAGGTTGCAACAAGATAGTCCCAGAGCTAAGAGGTATGTCCTATGAGGAGAAGTTAAGGAAATCAACTGACGACACTGGAGGACAGGAGAGATAGGGGGGACATGATAACGACTTACAAAATACTGAGAGGAATTGACAAGGTGGACAAAGACAGGATGTTCAGAGACTGGACACAGTAACAAGGGGACACAGTTGGAAGTTGAAGACACAGATGAATCAAAGGGATGTTAGGAAGTATTTCTTCAGCCACAGAGTAGTCAGGAAGTGGAATAGTTTGGGAACGATGTAGTGGGTCAGGATCATACATAGCTTTAAGCAGAGGTACGATAAAGCTCATGGTTCAGGGAGAGTGATCTAGTAGCGACCAGTGAAGAGGCGGGGCCAGGAGCTTGGACTCGACCCCTGCAACCTCAACTAGGTGAGTACAACTGGTGTGTACACACACACACCCTGCAAACCTCAGAACAGCATTCCGACATCTAATAAGAACGTTCAGCAACCCTGTACAACCGTGTACGTAGCCCATATTGGATATGCGCACAGTTTGAACCACACTAGCCAAGCATTGTTAAAGAAACTAAGAAAGTGCAAAGGTTGCAACAAGACTTGCCCAGAGTAAGAGGTATGTCCTACTGAGGGAGGTTAAGGGAAATCAAACCTCGACACTGGAGGACAGAGAGATAGGGGGGACATGATAACGACTTACATAATTATGGAGGATATTGACAAGGTGGACAAAGACAGGATGTCCAGAGACTGGACACAGCAACAAGGGGACAACAGTTGAAGTTGATGACAGATGAATCAAGGGATTTAGAGAATATTTCTTCAGCCACAGAGTATCAGGAAGTGGAATAGTTTGGGAAGCGATGTAGTGGAGGTAGGATCCATACATAGCTTTAAGCAGAGGTACGATAAAGCTCATGGTTCAGGGAGAGTGACCTAGTAGCGACCAGTGAAGAGGCGGGGCCAGGAGCTCGGACTCGACCCCCGCAACCTCAACTGGGTGAGTACAACTGGGTGAGTACACACACACACACACACACACACACACACACACACCACACACACACCACACACACACACACACACCACACACAACACCACACACACACACACACACACACTAACTCACCACTTTAAGCACTTGCAGTTTGTTATGTTTAGAGATGAGGTAGACCTTCGCGAAACTTCCCTCTCCCAGCCACTTAATGGTAGTGAAGTCTTCATACTGGATCTTGACGGGGAGGGAACAACAACATATATTTGCTTCGAAGGGTAAAAAAAAAAAAAGGACGCAAACAGGTAAGATCGAACCATGATATTTATATCAGAGAACGGCTTTATTTGCACAATATTTCGCTCAAATATAAAAACAAAAAAAAAATCGTCAAAATGATCACTATGCGTTTATATATTCTAACCTTAACTATTCTATCGCATCACTGAAGCAAGAACTTTAAGTAGTTTTTTATAGGTTGTAGGAGTATATGGAGTGGGAGTGAGTTAGACCAGCCGAGATTTGTTTAATCTTAAGTCTACCCGAAGTACTTTGCATAACAAGCTTAACTATGTATGACAGCTATATCATTAATGCTTTTATACAGTGTATCATCGGGATAAATTTGTCTTTATATCTCGTTAATGCAGCTTGAGAATACAGAACTTGTTGGCTAACTGGACCACCAAGCCTCTTTATCCATTCTTTCCATGTTCATTTACATGCTTCCCAGTTACCCAACACTGTGTAAATTATTATTATTATTATTATTATTATTATAATCAAGGGGAAGCGCTAAACCCGGAGGATTATACAGCGCCTGGGGGGGGGGGATGTGGAAGGCATTCAGGCTTAATTCGGGGAACTGGAGCACAGATCCAATTCCCTAAATCAAGAGCCCTCACAACATCAAGGAACCTTCCTTGAGGGGCACACTGTGTAAAGCCTACGGGTTTTGGCGCACCTTGTGAATGTGATATTGGGACAATGATTTGTCCTACCCAAAGTATTATAAAATTATGAACAAAATACTTATTCCAAAACGTTGTCTAAGACTCGTTTGAATATTACATATATTAACATTTTAATATAAGCATTAAACAGACATTATTCTAGACTTCTTTCTTATTTATTTAGAAACATAAGAACATAAGAAAACGTACAAAGGAGGATGACAAAGATGATCCCATGTATCAGACATCTTCCCTATGAGGATAGACTGAGGGCCCTGAATCTGCGCACTCTCGAAAGGTGTAGAATTAGGGGGGATATGATCGAGGTGTATAAATTGAAAACAGGAATAAATAAAGGGGATGTAAATAGCGTGCTGAAAATTTCCAGCCAAGACAGGACTCGCAGCAATGGTTTCAAGTTGGAAAAATTCAGATTCAGGAAGGATATAGGAAAGCACTGGTTTGGTAATAGAGTTGTGGATGAGTGGAACAAACTCCCGAGTACAGATATTGAGGCTAAAACGTTGTGTAGTTTTAAAAATAGGTTAGATAAATACATGAGTGGGTGTGGGTGGGTGTGAGTTGACCTTACTAGCTTGTGCTGCTGGGTCTGGTACAGTGCTCCATCCTTGAGTGGGGATGACCAGACTGGGTGGGTCATTGGGATAATCGGGGGGGGACATGGACCTGCTCCGCATGGGTCAGTAGGCCTGTTGCAGTGTTCCTTCTTTCTTATGTTCCTATTTTGTAAAGAAAAATTAATTATATTTTCACACTGGCCTAGCAGCAACATCAAGGTGAGTACCTCATACCAGTGATTCCTTAGCTCTGAGGAAGCTGGTAATGCCGTTGTAATTAGCATGACGAGCTAGCTCTTGAGCGGTGTTGCCCGTGCTGTCCTTGGCGTCGGGGTTTACACCCTGCTCCACCAGCCATTTGACTGCGTATAGGTTGCCGTAGTCAGCTGCCAGGTGGAGAGCTGTTGAGCCGTCAGCCGTCAGCGCCGCCAGCTGACACCCTCTCTCCTTCAGCACTTGTAGCACCTGCACGTGACCGCCAACCGCGGCCCAGTGGACCGCACGGCGTCCTGCAGATGACATTGTTTCAGACAACTGTTTGTTAGGTTTAAGCCTATCGCCTGCACGTGGGTCATTAAGGATAAGATAGAGATTACAGCAAACTTTCGGTGTATATGCCTTAAGAGGTATAAGCGTCGTGTATATACCCCGTGTGTTGACAAGTTTATTACACGCTGGATCTTTCAGTACCCGCTTAGTGGAAGATATGTCAGTAGTGTTTACCTTGTAGACTGTAGACAACATAATAAAAGTGCACACCCACCTGCTGATAAGCCTGTTAATCTTGTAAAATTTACCAGTTATGCCGGTAGAGGTGCAAGCGTTTGTCTCACTTCCACAATTAACTCTTCTACCCCACTAACAACTGTACACTTCAACACCTGTTTACGTGATAATATCATCGGTGCAGCAGACAGTATACTCACCCTGTGCTGTAGCCTCGAGGTCAACACCCTGCTGCAGGATCTGCCTCACCATGTCAGCATGGCCACCCCACGCTGCTAAATGTAGCGGTCGCAGGCCTGCAATCGTTAAAATAATTTCACTATTTACCTCAGATGATGTTATTGTCAATTTATTTTAAAGGGTGGACCGAGAAAACAACGAAAAGCCTCAGTCATATGACCAAAAGTTGGTGTGGCGGGTCAGAATATTAGAGAGAGCCGCGTCAGGATTATTTGTTCAGTTTTCTGGAGAATCTTACCTGACCTAATAAAAACATTGTGTTAATAATTCCCATCAGTAGTTTTTTCACATATGTTAAATTTAATAGAATAAACCTGGATGAGCGGCGGCTAAATTGGCGATACCAGAGAATTAACAGATTAGATACAGGACTGATTATATATAATCAGTCCTTGGGTGGCATAGTTCCTGACAAGAAAAAAGATGGTAAATTTGTGTATGAGAAACGATTAAATCTCTGGTAGACGAAACACCTCGTCAGCTCAAAAGTAAATTTACGTGTACGTTTTTGCATATTCATTTGATTTATAACTATGTTTGATAAACATAAATGTTTAACAAATATTATTGAAAATATACGTAGACTTGCTTGAAATTTAATTATTTGACGTTCCTCATACAAATTAAAGAAAACGTCTAATGATAGATTTAAGAGATAAAGCAGAAATTCATATAAATTTTAGTGAATTGCTTGAAAAAAATGTAAAGTTTTTGGTGCGAATGTTTCAGAGGATCGAGCGAAGATAAGATAAGATTTCGTTCGGATTTTTAACCCCGGAGGGTTAGCCACCCAGGATAACCCAAGAAAGTCAGTGCGTCATCGAGGACTGTCTAACTTATTTCCATTGGGGTTCTTAATCTTGTCCCCCAGGATGCGACCCACACCAGTCGACTAACACCCAGGTACCTATTTGCTGCTAGGTGAACAGGACAACAGGTGTAAGGAAACGTGCCGAAATGTTTCCACCCGCCGGGAATCGAACCCGGGCCCTCCGTGTGTGAGGCGGGAGCTTTAGCCACCAGGCCACCGGGCCACACTATCAGAGAACACTCCAACTCAAAATAATGTGATACAGGAAGAATATCTCTTAGAAATTAAAATTGTGTGGCACTGAAAAACTCCGCTAAAATAAGTTTTGTTAAATGTGTTTTTTTGCTCAGAAACGAAAAATTAATGCCTGTATTATGGCCGATTTTTTGGTTTCACGAGTTCACGTGATAACTCTCTATGAGGATGCCCTGATGCCTGTAAAGGGGCTCTTGATCCAAGGAATTGCAGTCACTTCAGATCAAACCTTAGTTGTCTCCCGTTAACCAGGCGCTGCCATCCTTACGGGTTTAGCATTTCCCCATTATCATTAATTACAGTCAGAATCACCATAACTAGTATGATACTAATAACAGTGATAATAGCCATAACAAAAATAATTAATAATGATAAATAAGAATATTACTGCACTATTACAACAACCACCACTACTACTACTACTACTACTACTAATAATAATAATAATAATAATAATAATAATAATAATAATACACTATTACCTTCCTCTCCTGCACGGTTGCTGACTACTTCTAGGTCGACGACTCCAGTCACCAGGAGTGCTGTGAGGGATGTCAGGTCACCTTCTGTGGCTGCTTCCAACACCTGCCATCAGCATATATTTAGAGTAAGGAGAGAGACACCTGGTTCATTTTGATAAAGACACAGAAGCAGCAGTGGGGAACTTACCAGGCTTAGGTTGTTAAAGACACAGCAGCAGCAATAGGAAACGCTGTCAAAATAGGTTAGGCTAGATTAGATTCGTTAGAAAACAGGACAAGTGTTTCCTGACGCGGGTCTTAGCCATATGATAATTAGTCACTGGACCTTTTGGTCTTCTGACCGAGGCCTTCCGCTGGCTTACCGGTTCACCCATTTTAAAAATTAAGGTTAAATATATTATTTTCAGAATAAGAAACGTTATCAGACTTGGTAAAGCCTGCTGCGTAGACGAAGCGATTACTATTAAAAATATCGTTACTGCCTTTGCGTCTCTATCAACCACAACTATTACTAAAAACGTTACACATACTCCTTAATATAGAACTTTCTCTGCAAGTGTCTTCTCAACCATACTTATCAGTAATACCTGCCATTCTACGTAAACATAAATTAGTGTATCTTAACATAAAATAAAACAGAAAGTAAGAACAGTATTGTACACTTCAACCTTCCACTGAGAGTTATCTTCAATATTCTTGTATTCAGTGTCTCGCATAATATTAATAATTTATTCATGTGGGTTTGACTGCTCACTACAATCCGAGTTCTTGTATGAAAAATACAGTTCATTCTAGTCAGCATGTCACTTTTGGCTAAGAATGTCAAATGTGTGAATGATATTATGAGAATTTATTATTTTTGACTATTTTACTGGCCACTGGGTGTGTTTCCATTTCTTGTCCGTATTTCGAAACTAATCGATTTTATATACTGCACTTATTAGCGTTATAATAATTTATAATTGATTATATGTTGCTCATAGACGATAATCTAGTTCAACCAAACCTAACCTAAATAACAGGAATGTGCTTAAAATCGTGTTTGAAGTAACTAACATTTGCTCTAGGACTGGTTGTCGTGTGAGGACCAGTACATTACTTGCGACATGTTCTTCGTGTAACGACGGACAAGAAATGCAGAATGAGCTTTTGAGACAAAACTCGACAGAGCTCTATACAGAGCGAAACATGATAAACCTCTACAGAGTGAAGCGTGACGGTAAAGCTCTACGCAGCGAAATATGACTTGATAAACATGCACACAGCGAAACGTCTTGGTACAAGCTTGTACCTGGAACCTGGAAGCGTCTGCCAGTTGTCTAGCCAAACATCTCCCCCCCCCCTCCAAAAAGAAAAAAAAACTTTACCTAAGAGTATCCAGTCCTTTTACCTGGAGGAGTAGGTTAAATTATGGAGTGGCTGTGATGAATTGACAAACGCACAAACATACCTGGGTGGAGGTCTGCAGGAAGGGCAGATTTGCAGAACTCGCAGATGTACAGTCTGTATTCTCACTACCCACACACCGCTGATTTATTCTCTTGACAATAGAAAAAAAAAGAATACACCAGCTAGGCTCAAGAAGCTTTGTATAGGGCCAGGAAACAGTTTCTTCAAAAATTATGTATGTAATACATAAGAAACAAACATAATGGCGTCATATATGCTGATTAAAGGCTCTCTATCCGAAGAACTGTGGCTACCTTCACTTTCCTGTATTTTAAATTGAAAATTAAGCAATATCTAAATATTTACTTCATATGAAATAAAAATCCAAGATATTTCTCAATATTTTCACTTTTTTTTAACTGGTTGAACGCTTCCCTGTAACTATCATAATAACAATAGATGAATGTCACCAGGTTCTCACTTGGACGTGAGCTGTCATCAGGTATCTGCGAATGTCATTGTGGCCACCTGCCCTGGCCAGCTCCTTGGCGGTGTAGCCTCTGCTGTCCCTCATGCCTGGGTTGAGACCCTGCTCCACCAGCCACTTGACAGCGTCCAAGTTGCCGTAGTCAGCTGCCAGGTGGAGAGATGTTGAGCCATCAGCTGTCAGAGCCGCTAGCTGACATCCTCTCTCCTTCAGCACTTGCAGCACCTGTACGTGACCACCAACAGCGGCCCAGTGGACCGCACGGCGTCCTGTAAATGAATTATGTTACACTTCTGGTCCTGTAAACCTACCCAGTGTATGACAAGTAGGCCTGGAGATGTCATTATGTTACACTTCGGTCCTGCAAAACTTATGGTGATATCGAGAAGTCGTAGTACCTTAGGACTGAAGAAGTCACTCGTGGCGAAACGTTTCTTTAATATCTTAGTCAGTGCATACATGTCTACAACTAAGCTTACAGCTGAGAATATTGATATGCCAAGTAAAGTGGTGATTATAATTCACAACCAAGATACTGATAATGAAAAGTGGACGACCTTTCGGGCCGTCCTAGACCTTCGTCAAGTCGCAATCTGATGAGGTCCAGGATCAAATCAAATCAAATCAAGGGTTACAGTGTGGGGTTTACAGGATTTGGATATTGTGTGGTTTACATGTTATAAAATACTAATTACTGAGAGGGGCCACTAGGACACCTAGCGTGGCTAGGCATTTCGGGCAGACTTAGAATAATTCTTAACATTAAATCCTTACAGATTATGGTATTAAGGCTAAGTGACTTCATCATAATTTGTGAGTTTAGCAATGTGAATGCTTTTGTTTTGGCACAATACAACGTGTCTATATTGGAGTATCATAGGCAAACTTATGACTAGTTAGGATTCATTATTTTAAGATTAAGATTAGTATTTCTGGGTTTATAGTCAGTGGGTGAGTGAGTGTAATTGTGAACCACCAGGTGGTTATCATGTAGTTAGTTGTCGGGGTGTATCAGGGAGATAAGATGTTTTCTAACTGTAGTTTTGAAAGTGATGAGTGTGTCTGCAGTTCTAGAGTTTTCAGGTAGGGTGTTCCAGATTTTAGGTCCTTTGAAATACATTGAGTTTTTGTAAAGGTTTAGTCGGACATGGGGAATGTCATAGAGATGTTTGTCTCTGGTGTTATGCCTGTGGGTTCTGTCACAACTATCAAGAAAGCGTTTTAGGTCAAGGTTAATATTGGAATTTAAGGTCCTGTAGATATAGATTGCACAGTAGTAAGTGTGGATGTTCTGAACAGGGAGTAAGTTTAGATCTATGAAGAGTGGGGGGGGGGTGTTGCCAGGGATGGGATTTAGTGATTATTCTTACTGCGGCTTTTTGTTGGGTTATTATTGGCTTTAGGTGTGTTGCTGCAGTTGAACCCCAAGCACAGATAGCATAGGTGAGGTATGGATATATAAGTGAATGGTATAGTGTGAGAAGGGCAGTTTGCGGCACGTAGTATCGTATCTTGGAGAGGATCCCCACCGTTTTGGATACTTTTTTTGTTATGTGTTGGATATGGGCGCTGAAATTTAGGTTGTTGTCGAGGTATAGGCCAAGGAATTTGCCCTTATTATGCCTGGCAATTAGAGTGTTGTCGATCTTAATGTTAAGTTGCACAACACCTGCTCTGCTACCAAACATAATATAGTAGGTTTTGTCAGTGTCAAGCATAAGTTTATTGGCTGTCATCCAAGTCGACATTTTGAGCAGCTCCTCGTTAACAATGGTGTTGAGGGTGGCAAGATTAGGGTGGGAGATGACATAAGTCGTGTCATCAGCAAAGAGAATGGGTCTCAGGTGTTGGGATATGTTTGGAAGATCATTGATGTAAATGAGGAAGAGCAGGGGTCCAAGGACACTTCCCTGCGGAACTCCAGTATCAAGTGGCCGTATTGATGAGGCTGTGTCTTTAATGGTGACATACTGATACCTATTAGAAAGGTAGGATTTGAAATATGCAAGCGCATGGCCTCTTATACCATAGTGGTCAAGTTTGTGGAGTAGGATGCCGTGGTCTACTGTGTCAAACGATTTTCTTAGGTCAATAAAATTTCCTAGCAGGTATTCCTTATTTTCCAATGCTGTGTAAAGCAGGTCTAGCATTTTTATAATTGCATCATTAGTGCTTTTATTTTTCCTGAATCCAAATTGGCAGGGGTTGAGTATGTTTTGTGACGTTATAAATGAATATAGTCTGTGCACGAGTTTCTCGAAGATTTTGGATAGCAATGGTAAGTTTGATATTGGCCTATAGTTGTTTACGTCTGTAGGGTCACCACCTTTATGTGTTGGTGTAACTCTTGCTGTCTTGAGTAGTGTCGGGATAGTGCTAGTTTCTAGTGACTTGTTAAAAAGCAATGTAATAGCATGCGAAAGGACATGGGCCGCTCGCTTGTATAATAATGGTGGGACGTGAGACAGATTCCCCGAGTTATTTTTAAGTGACTGTATGATCGCGGTGACTTCCGTCGTCGTCTAGTTTAAATTTCCGATGTATGAGGTAGTTGGTAATTGTTCTAGTAACATGCTTATCTTAACTGCTTTACCCTGAGGTAATACAGCTAAGATAAGCTTGTAATGCAAGACTGTGAAAGGACTATTGTTGTTTGGATGGAAGGGAAGTAGGGGTAGTCTCATGCCGGTGAAAACCTCATGATAGAAGAAATTTGATCCTTGAATCAAACTTGATTACCTTTCATTTCCAGTCGTAATATGACCACTACTGACTTAACACTTTCCTATTAATATAAGGGTATGACCCAAAATATCCATATAAAAGACGTATGACATTAAAGACGCATTCAGTAATGGGAGAAAAAATACTCGGACTTGGAGAAAAAATGAAATAAGTTCGTGAAGCGGAGATTACAATACTGAGAGACGACGCGAGCTTAAAGATAAAAAAATTATTGTTAATATTGACCACCCTGAAAAATTTTTAGTGGTGTTATAAAAGGAAAGATCAAGGTGTGGTGTCCAAACCTAAAAAAAAAAAAAACATGAATCGGACTGAGAAGAGTCCAGAAAAGTTGAAGAGCCGAAAATGGATGCCAGGCCTAAGAGGCGAGGCTGAAAACAATGAAGATGCCCACACTGGCTGATAGGAGAAACTTAGATGTCATCCAAATATATAGGCTTATAAAAACTATGAAAAATCTTTTTGTACTGTAGTTTCAACAGGGATAAGAAGACACAAAATTACGAAAACTTGGAGCCGAAGGGATACTGGGAATATTTTTCTTTACAACAGAAGTGTTAGAAGAATCTAATCAAATGAAAGAAGAACCTATTAATGAAGACTGGACAACACAAGCTCCTGAAGCAACAGGTAATAACGAATAGGTAATTGTCTGAGCAGTTTGAGTCACTTCCTGTCATGTAACGTTGCATGACCCCTGAGTCATGACACCCTAACAAAGACTACCTTGCGCCACAGCCTCGCGGTCCACCTGGTGGTCGAGGATGATCTTCACCAGCTCGGCGTGGCCGCCCCACGACGCAAGGTGCAGCACCCGCAGCTCTGACGGAACATGCAGTGTTCAGCTGTTTGAAAGTTATTGCTTAGGTAGTGCTGAGAGAATATAGGATCAATAAAATTCATATAACACGTCAAAAATATTTTATATATTATGTATATGTATGTAAACTGAGAGATAATGTTTGTATATGTGTGTAATCTTGGTTCAGGTAAAAGAGAGAAAAAGCAAGTGTTACATGTTAGAGACATTTCTCATGAGGTGTGAGGTACTATATTACCTTCCTCCCCAGCCCGCTGACTGGCGATCTCCAGGCTGATGCCGGTATTCACGAGGTGTCTTAATGTCTGCAGGTCGCCCTCAGATGCAGCCTCCATCAGCTGGTGGTCAGGGTAATGTGTTACAGGATCTCTCTCTCCCTGGACCCATTATGTACCTCTGTAATCCTTTGACTACCGCCCACAGGATGGGTATGGGTGCATAATAAGGAGTTAAACTGTCTCTCGCTCTCCAAATAGAAGCGCAGAAACAATCACACAAGAGTAAATCTTAAGAAATAGTTATAAAAAAAAGCAAGTCGAAACAAAATCTTGCATTCAGGTTTGTAAACAGTAAACTAAATTTGAAAAACTAGGTACGCGAAAAAATGTGTTATGTATAACGTTCCTGGGTTTAGTGACAAAGGAATAGACCTAAAATAAAGTGTAACCTCTTGAAGAAATTGTGATTGATCTTACTGAGATAACACAGGACGAAGACAAGTTTTTGAGCACCGTAGTCTTCAAGACTACGGCGCTCATCACCAACTCTAAGGCTGAGGGACTGATTACCTTGTCATTTACATATAGTTACGCAGTCTTCCCATTATGTCCTTGAATTTGCATTGATAAAGCCACTGGATGGCGAAACGTCTACAAATAAGGACACCGAGATGTTGCACATGTGTCTAATTCTTCATCTGGTCGGTACTGTATACCATTCATGTACAACTATCCATCCTAAACAATATTTGGAACTTCATTAAAACTGGTGAACAGATGACGGGAAATATAAATATTGTGCAGATATTTCTCCTCTGGGAAGAGATGCCTTGGTGGCGGCAAAGCCCTTATATTCCATGGAACTGGAGTCGCTCCCCGTTCTGTGAATAAAACTGTGCTTCCCATTCCTCGTCCTTTGTATGACCCGTATGGATTTAGCGCTTCCTAATGACTGTACTGGTATTTCTGTGCTTGTGTAAAATAAGAGGAGACTATAAACCAGTCGTGTCTCGCTGACAAGTGCTGTTATAAGAACTCTGAATGATGTCCATTAAAGAAAACCTGAATGAAATACCTCAAGCAAAATATTATATATGCCCTTTTACACAAATAACCCGCACATAAAAGAGAGAAGTTTACAACGACGTTTCGGTCCGACTTGGACCATTGACAAAGTCACACTAACCAGAGGAACGAACGAAAGTTCAGGTAAGATCCCAAATGGGATGAGCGGGGAAGACGGGACAGACGAAGAATAGTGCTGGAGAGGAGTGTTCTTAGTTGTAGAAATAGAGCCAGGGCTTAACCCAGCAGCTAAGTCGATCGTGGGACAGACATTGAAAACACATATAGCAGGCTCTTCTGTTGCGACTCCGGTGGGTGAGTGGGGAAGTGTGGACAGACGATGAACAGTCGTGAGAGGAAGGTCTTGAGTTGTAGATGAAAGAGCCAGGGCTAAACCCAGCTGCGTGGCACTGCGAGACAGTGTAGTGGACAGTGTTGAGGACATAGAGGAGAGAGCAGACTGCAGACAGTGCTCGCCGACTGATATGCTTCAGGCTGAGGTGAAGAGCTGGTTTGGACGTCAGGTGTTGGGAAGGGTGTTGTGTGTTTGGCTACACTTCGCTGGTGATGGAGCCACTCTTGAGTCTTTTGAAGTCTCTCTTGGACATGTGGAACAGTTGCATTCTGAGGTTGGAGCAGTTCAGATTCGCCACGGGGTAAGATAGTGCGTTTTCAAAAGGAATTTGGTGAGGTTTGGTGCAGGTGTACTTAACAGCTCCTTCTTTCATTAAGTGGAGCATATCAGCTGCGCTCATTTCGGTTGGGAGGTTGGGGGTGGTGTAGAAGGTTACAGACCCATTAAAGGCTTGGCTTAGGTAACGGTTGCCTGTGGTTTCTTCTTCGACTATTACTTCGTCGTTGTCCGAGGGTTGTTCATAATGTTCTGGTACTATTTCGTCTTCTGTGACTGTGTTGAGAGGAGGCAGGGAGTGTTGGTCGGTCGTGATTTGTTGGGCTGGTGGTGGGTGGTGAGAGGTGGCAGTAGACGGTGGTGTTAGTTCTGGAGTAGAGTCTTGGTCAGAGATACGAGTAGGACCAGGGGTTGAGGTGAAGTTAACAATGTCTGGAATTAGCTTGAGGAGGTCTTGTGATGGTGGCGAGTCTGGAAAGTTGAAGTTTGGCATGTTGTTTAGGCGAAACAGTTCATTGATTGTTGTGTTGAATGAGCCAGGGTTTGCAGCATTAGTGAGGTGTGCATACATCATACAGTATAGCACCTTGGATGGAGCAGCGTCAGGAAGAGCAGAGAGGGACAGGCTGGGTGGAGATGATTGTTGTGTAGCTTGAAGGAGTTCGGTGGTATCTGATTGAATTTTTGCAATGGCGGCGTATGTTGGCAATTTAGGGTTGTTCTTCTTGGTTTCTTCAATGATTTTCTTAGACAGGACTTCTTTACGTAGAGGGCATTTTGCTGCAAGGGTGTGGTGAGTACCCCTGCAGTTGAGGCAGGTAGGAGAGGTAGTGGTAGTAGAACATTCCTTGAAGTCATGGCCGTCTTTACCGCAGTTTGTGCAGTACTTCTTCCCTTTCAGAGGACAGTCAGGCGTTGAGTGTTGATAGGAGTAGCAGGTCCAGCATGGCGAGATGTGGGCGAAACGTTCGGGTTCTATGTGACTTGGATGGATATGATAGTAGGAGATAGCTAGGCCGTCAGACAGTGCTCTAGTAGCCATCTCGATGTTGGAGAAGGTTAGCTTGATCATTGTAGAGGCGTTGGGGATTTTGGTGATAAGTTCAATCGACGCCCAGGTATTTTGTTACTCGATAGAGGTCTTGAGATCCTCAGTCGATAAAGAAGTGACGAGTTTTCCAGCCGTTTGACGAAAACGGAACGTTTCGCCAGAAAAAAAGGTGAAGGGGAGATGGTGAACTGTCGGTCTCTGAGGGTTTTCATAGAAGTGTCGGCGATCAGCTTTGTGACTTCATAATCGTCAGTACAGACGACGATGAATGAGTCTTTCGTCGAGTGGATGGCTGTAAATTTAACTTGTAGGCAAGTCTTTACAGCGGCAGCAAGGGCAAGTTTAGTAGAGTCATTTATTACTCCACTGTTGGGTTTGATCCTTACACGGTTTGCAAGCATCATGAAGGAGTAAGTCAGGCGCTGGTACGATGACTATAGGTTCCCCTCCCCGACGGGGATCGAAGGAACACTTCTTGAGGTGAGAAGCGACTGTGTCTTACGATGATGTGTTTGGAGTGTGTGTGTGACCAACCAGAGGAACGAACGAACGAACGAAAGTTCAGGTAAGATCCCAAGTGGGATGAGCGGGGAAGACGGGACAGACGAAGAACAGTGCTGGAGAGGAGTGTCCTTAGTCGTAGAAATAGAGCCAGGGCTTAACCCAGCAGCGAGGCGATCGTGGGACAGATATTGAGAAGAGAAATTCAGGCTCTTCTGTTGGGACTCCGGTGGGGTGAGCGGGAAGGAAGGGACATGCGACGTTTAGAGCTAGAGAGGAGTGTAGAACTGAGCCATGTCTTAACCCAAAGGGTAAGGCGAACGTGGATCAGAGAATGGTACCTGTCATAGAAGGTACCTCTCGGAGAATCCAAGGTTATTTGTAAATAGGGTTAGGAGCAGGATCATGCAAGGAGTAGAAAAGGTTGTGTTGGTTTGTGGGTCTGCGAATGTCTTCGTCAAGGAGAGAGGTCCAGTAGTCATGTCGTGTCACAAGTTTGTCAATCTGTCTGTCACTGAGCGTCTTCCAGTACAGATTCAGCGCAGGGATGTCTAACTGGGCATGTAGAGACTCGCATGTGGCGAAGTCCTCCCATCTGACATCAAGCACCCAGCGCAGCTCCTTGTTCTGGACACGCTGCAGTTTAAGTAAGTTTGTTTTTGCTGCATGAGAGAGGGCTAGAGGAGAGTAAGTTATCAGAGGACGTATAAGGGATTTGTAGAGGTGTAGTTTGGTGCGTTGACCTGAGAGGCATGTTTCAGCTTGTAGAGGCCCGCAAGGGCCTTACTAGCTATTGCATGCCTTGAGTGAATGTGTCCGTGTAAGCGTAGAAGGTAGTCAAGATTAACGCCAAGGACAGTGACAGATTGTGTCATGGGGATGTAAGTGCGGGTGTCAGCTGTTCTGAGCTCGACAGGTAATGGAGGATCACGTTTTCTGTAGCTAAAATATGTAATGCTGGATTTAGCTGCATTGGTTTTGATCTCCATTTTTGTTCCCAGATGGCTATCCTGTCGACCTCATTTTGTGTTTTGTGTGTGAGTGTATCTATATTGGCATGGGTGATAAGTTGTGTAATGTCGTCTGCATAGGCTAGTGTGATGGAGTTTTGGTGTACAGGTGTTGGAATGTCGTTAGTGTATAAAATGTAGAGGGTAGGGGAGAGGACAGATCCCTGGGGTACTCCAGCATTTAGTGTGAAGTAGTCGAGTAACAGCCTTGGATTTGATTCTCATGGTACGGCCGTCTAGGAAGTTGCAGAGGAGTTTACGAGTAGTGAGAGGCAGGTTAAAGTTAGTGCAGAGTTTGTACTTGAGCCCTTGGTGCCAGACAGTGTCAAAAGCTTTTTCAACGTCTTTTGCAACCAGGGCTGTCCTGTTTCGTTGTTCTATGTTTATGTGGATGTAGTTGAGAATGATGTTAATGGCATCTTGTGTGGATCTGTGTGTTCTGAAGCCAAACTGGCCATCAGAAAGTCAGAAAGTAGAGAGTTGTGTTCCAGGTATCTGCGAAGGCGATGGTTGATGAGTTTTTCAAAGAGTTTACCTAAAGTTTCGAGGAGGCTGATAGGGCGATAATTTCTAGGATCAGAGTGGTCTTTTTTGGGTTTAGGAAGGAGGATAGCAAATAGCAGCTTTGAAGAGGGAAGGGAAGTATCCAGAGGCAAGGGAGGCATTGAGGAGGTGTGTGTAGGCAGTAATGATAGAGTCAGGAAGGTGTTTTAGGATAAAATGTTTTTAGGCAGAGGCGCCAGGAGCCTTGGGAGGAAGGTGTCTGAGGAGAGTTTTAATGTCTGTGTTGGTGAAAGGAGTGTCGAGTTCTTGGGAGGAGGTAAGAGAGTCTAGATGAATGTGGCTATCTGGTGTTGTATCT